TAACGTTCTATCCAATGTTTGAATTAAAATATGATGATTATCTTACTCCAATCCTAAGAGAAAAAGCTATTCTCTCATGGAAATTTGATTTCTATATTATTGGGATAATTCAAGTTTTAAAAATCACACCTTTCCACTTAGCAAGATTTGACCTTTTTGGGCTAAGAACAATCCATTCTTCAAATAAATTTAATGATAATGAGGATGATGATTATAGAGATGATGGTGGAAGTGGTGAAGGTGGTGGTAATGGTGGTGGTGTAGATTTTGATGTTGATAATAATCATGATAGAGGTGGTTATGATAGAGTAGGTGGCTGCAATCAAGGTGATGTTGGTGATGCTTTTGTTAGATATATATCACCCATAGATGATTCGATGTCACCTAGTCAAGAGCAATATCATCCTAGTTGTAGGGATATGTAATTAATGGAAAATTATAGTTATGATTCTTATAGAAGACAGGATGAGTGGAACAAACTTATGGTAGATCTAGGCATGATAATTAAATGATGCATGACATAAGTGGCAATATTTTAAGCTCAGGTTTTAATTATAGCTATAACTCTTCTCAATATGGGTATGATACGGGTGTTATATCTACTATTTCCTAGATATGCAATGAGTTTTTAGATTTTCAATGGTGATTCTAGTGAAAGGTATGGATCAAATTATTAGCCTCAACCTTGTTTTTTGTTGGATGCTACAACTCCATGTACTAGGGAGAAATTTAAGTATTTCAAGAAAACATCTGTATTAATGTCATATTCCAATAAGATGGCTTGGGGTGAATGTTACTCTTTGATTAGAGACCAAAACAATGTAAACATAAACAATTTTGAACGTGTACGAAACTCGTTATGGTATTGAACTATTGACTGCCATAACTTTTGACTCCATGTATATAAATATGTAACTTACCAAGTAAAGATAGATTGACATTTATGTATAATTTTTATTGTGTATTTATTAATCATTTTTGAAATTTGAATTGAGTATCATATAAGTTATTAATGAAGATCATTGTTCATCAAGGTATATTCTATTCAATTGCTAGATGCKTTTTTTTAATTACGAATATGTAATGCTAGATGCCTAGTCATCCTTAATTCATCATTCATCATTTTAGTGATACATGTGTTGAATTAAATTATTAGGCATTGATATTTTATGGCTATAACCCTAATAGACATTGTTATTAAAATATATTAATTTAATGTATGTATACCTCATTGAAAACTTATATTTGGTGTTATTAATGTATTTTTATATTTTACTAAAGTATTTATAATATTTCCATATGCATAATTCTCATATGCATGTGTATCCAGGGTGTATTTCGATCTGTCTCTTAAAATTGCCATTGTGATATATTTGACATTTCCAATACTTTGATCCTTGGCCTAGGTATTGCCAAACCTTTATAAACGTCTTTTTATGCTTTACATTCTTGCAATCTCTTACTTTACCTTTTATCTGCGTTAATTTGATTATTTTAATTTCCGTTGCATTTGCATAACACACGATAGCCTTCCACTGCACCATTCTTATATTAATCATCTTAAAAGGCTTTATTTGGGGGAAATAGTTTATACTCAATTCACCCCCCCCCCCCCCTCTCTTAGGTTAGGCTAATTAAGCAACAATTCAAATTTATGGCTCTTCGCAAGAAACAGAGAAATATGATTTTAAGGGTTAAAAAAGAGTGGAAAAAAACTGAATGGATGAAGAATTGTGTGAGAAAAGGAGAGGTTCTTTTCAAAAAATTCAAGGAGGGGATTTGGTGAATTAGTAGTCTCTACATGGCAGTTTGGATCACCTACACTTATGCCTTACACTCGTGGTTCAAAGTATTGATAGACGAAACTCATTCATTTTATTATTCTTTTGTTCTGACCTATTGTTAATTGACATGATAGGTCATAAGATGAAACCACCAAATCACTCAAATGTTAATATAAGTGTATCATTGACCCTAAAAACTGATTCAATATGTCTCGTATTGGACATATCATATCAATGTTTTGAACCTTGTATACACTAAGGCATGCACTAACAAATGAAAAGAAGATTCATTTAGTTGCTTAGGGATCTTCTTGAAAATGAATTGTTTTTCATGTTTGTGAGTTTAGAAAACAAGTTAAAATCATCTGGTTCGATAAATTGTTTCTTAAAACAAAAACATGAAAATATGTTATTCATTGTATATGAGTTTTTTGTTTCCAGAATTGAAACAAGAAACATTCTCTTAAATTTCTGGTAAGAAACATGCTTTCATCTAATCATCTCTCATCATCTTTTATAAATCATACAATAAGCATATTCCAATATTTTTTTTTTGTTTTAGAAAACTATCATTTTGATGGCTTAAAAAACATGAATTGTTTTTTGAAACAAAACCAATTGTTTTGCTTCTCAAAACAATAACACAATTCAAGAACATGCTTTTGTCTCTTTTTGTTGATGTGGAAATTTCAAAAACAAATGAAAACAAAAGCATCCCTGTTCTGTATTACACCCTCTTAAATTTCAAAATGTCAAATATGAGAGCGGATGATATTTTGTGACAAAGATCCCCCTTAAAGGCTTGAACTTCTAGATTCTAGTACTCTGCCCCTTGACCCATTAACAAGATTGAGTGTGAAAATAAAATTACTAAATTGCCCATTCAAGTTTCTAAGGATGACAGCAAAAAAGATCAAAATGATGAAAATAACCATTCTAAATAACAAATCATTTTCAAGTCATTGAAGAATTGATTATTCTCAAGGTACTCTCAAGTTTATTTGAAAGAAAAGTTAAGAGAAACATGTAAGAGTTCGGATTTAAAAAGACGAGTTAGGGTAATTTGCGGATTTATAAATGTTTAATGGGATATTTCATGGAGTTAATGTTCTGAGGGGGGGGGCACTACTACCCCCTTAGGTACAGAGTGGCTTTCTGTAATTTACCCTTATTCTTTTACTTTTACTTTAAACTGAAAAATATTGAATTAAACAAAAAAAAAGACAAAAAAAGGATAATACCCCTATATATAAAGCCATATCTCTCCTCACTAGCTAGATATTCTCTTTCTCTCAGCCGTGCCCAGAGCTGAACAAGACGTTGAATCCACCAGATTGTAGAAAAGATTCTACATTCTGACTTTTTTTTCTCTTCTACATCCTTCGATGTAATGCTCTTTTCTTTTTTCTATTTTTTCTGTTGTCTTCCTTTACCAGATTGCAGAAGATTCAAAATGTGGAGAAGATAACAAGTTGCAGATTCAACTCCAGTGACTTTTTGCAGAGAGCATGAGTACTATCTAGCCCACACATTTGAAGCAAGAACCAAAGCTACGATGAAACCAGGCAGTAAAGGAACCCGTAACACCTGGGGGGTGTGAACCTTTATTTTTCACCGAGGATAATCGCTTGGCTGTTTTGTAAAAATAGCGTGAGCTGGTTGTTGAGAATTTCCTGCGCATGACACGTTATTCACTCAGTTCCTTGCTTGTCTTTTAGGCTTAAAGAATAGTGATTGCAATTGCAAATACTCTTTCACCCCTGGCCCTCATCATGGTCAAAAATAGAAGAAAATTACTGCTGGTGATTTGGCCAGTTATCCAGCGATAAAGAAAAGGAACAGCTGAACTCCATAGCTGTTTTCCAGGCTGTGTGACCAACCATTTTGCTCCCCACTAGCACTTTGTTAGAGATTAGGTGATTGTGGGCCATATGCTTATATGTTGGGGTGTCCACGATTGCGTTAATTGAATCATGGACAATTTTTGCAAATTAAACCGATACCGTCAGTTTTTCCATTTCTTCAAATAAAAACCGAACCGATTCCACCAATTAACCAGTCTGTTGGTTTTGGTTTTTGACCTGTTCGGTTTTTTATATAATACATATTATATAAACATATGTATAATATTATATTATAAATAATAAATAACATATAATATATTATAAATATTATAAAATTATATAATATATATATAATATATTTATAAATAGATTATTATAAATATAATATATATATACATATATATATAATGAATATATATTTATATATATATAAGATATATATAATATGTGACATTAAAAATATATATAAAAGAAACATAAATATACATACCAATCGGTTTGGTTAACCGCCAATTTGTTTGTAAATTAACCAAAAACCAAACCAGTCTTTACAGTTTTTCAAAAATATCAAACCGAAACCGAACTAATCAATTCAGTTAACCACATTTTCCAATTCGATTTTCTCGATTCGGTTCAGCACCCATAATGTCAGATGTAGAGCAAAATGTGACACCACGACCCATCCATAAAACAGCTACCAAGTTCAATTAAACCGCTCTCCGAGAAACAGAGGACTTGCCCTTTCTTTTGAGAGTTGCAGTTCAAGTGACAACGTTTTTTCTTTTCATTAGTTAGTACACCACAGGCCTTCAGTGTAAGGCACAAAGTGTAGGAGATTCAGAGGTATGAGAGGGACAATGGTTACAACATGCATTTGGATTGCGTTTGATCAAACGCAACTTCTTCGATTGAAGGTTTTAGAAAGTTCTAGCCTTCTGTCAGAATGGTGTAAATATTTGCCTCTCGAGAAAATCATAACAAACTGCGAAGTATGCAATCAAACAATTTGGTATTTGCATCCAAAGCCAGCGCCAAGACTCACTGCAGCAACTTGGGCGGGCTCGGGTTGAAATTTTGTTAAATTTTGAATGGGCCTGACCCAAAAGCCCAAGTTGTCAACAAATAAAATAAGTAGCTTTATTATCAAATTACAGGTTAAAAATTCAAAGTATAGGTTGTCAATTATAATCGGGTGGCATCGGATCAAACCTTGTATTGAACTGGTTCTGCACATTTCCTTAATACGGTTGGGCCCGGGTGTACCCTAACCGGACAAGACCCGACCTATTGACAGCACTATTTCTACTTAATTATCACAAGGATTGTGGACCATAACATAAACAAAGAAAACATCGCATTCTCAAACACTATATGAGAAAATATGCCCCATACCCAACCCATACCAATCGAGGGAATGCCCTCGGTTACAAGCTAGAGGAATAACAATAAGAGACTGAGAGAGATGGACCAATGTAATTACTTAAAAAGAAATTTAACCATGAAAAGAAAATTAAGGATGTAATAAAATTGAGTCAAACAAAAAGAGAATGGACACTCCGACTGTTCATGATTCGCAAAAGCAAAAGTTCAGAAGGACTAAGAATCCAAACCACTACGATATGCAAAAACAGGCAGACATGAGAAAACACTACACAACCAAAATATAATCAGGGAGATAGGATGTGAAAGACAACCAACCCATGTACCATAGACACACTACCCCTTTTGGAACTCTTTTCCTTTCTGAACTTTAAAAGAAATGCCTTAGGGAAGATAGAAATGGAATTATAATTATCTACCCGGTTACCTCTTTCAAATTTCTTTTTCTTTTCCCACCTTTTGATCTTAAGGTTATGGTAGGGTTGGTCCTTACTTGGCCATCATGACCTTCACAAACTCCTCGTAGTTGATCTGTCCATCACCATCAACATCAGCCTCACGAATCATCTCATCAACTTCCTCATCTGTCAGCTTCTCACCGAGGTTAGTCATAACATGGCGCAGCTCAGCTGCGGAAATGAAGCCATTCTGATCTTTGTCAAACACCCTGAAAGCCTCCTTGAGCTCCTCTTCAGAATCGGTGTCCTTCATCTTCCGGGCCATAAGGTTCAGGAACTCTGGGAAGTCAATGGTTCCATTTCCATCAGCATCAACCTCGTTGATCATGTCCTGGAGTTCTGCCTCTGTTGGATTCTGCCCAAGTGATCGCATAACCGTCCCCAATTCCTTGGTTGTAATGCAACCTGGAATGTGATATCAAATACTACTGTCAAAAATCCCAGCATTTTGTGATAGGGATCATACAGCAAGCTTCAAAGACTTATAGGAGAGGAGAAAGTGCCCAGCAATTCCAAGGCTTTGGTTCTTATTTGGCACAATGATGGTTCAGACTCTAGCTGGGAGCTAGGATAATAAATTTTGGCTGTTTTTTAAGAGGTTTTTTTAATCAGCAAGAAAATTTTATAAATTGTATTATTATGTGAAACAGAAATTAAAGCAGAGTATCCAACCACCCATAGACACAATGAAAAATGATTCAAAGCCCAGGTCGGAGAGGATTATAATAATGCCCAAAATATCTGTGCTGCCTATAGACCCCTTGCTTTGCTAATGTGTCAACCAATCAATTTGCAGCCCTTCTTACCCAAACAAAAGTATCATTCAAATCTTTTGACAGGTTTTCTACTTCCCTAAGGACATGCCTATAAATCCAAGGGAGAGTGTTTTACAGCAAGGTTATTTTGGTTGTACAGTTTATTAGAAGTCATTCTTTTAGTTCAAATTACTATTCCTAAGCCATGAAGGAGTAGGAATCCAAATTAGAAACAAAACTGCCACTATCCTAGGCTATAAATGTGGGTGTATCGATTGTTTTCCAGCAATAGATTGCATCGAAAACAGAAGTTTGTTTTCTTTATGAAGATGTGAGATACTTCTAAGGTTTGGGTGTGAGGCCTAAACTATTTAGGAGTGATTCCTAATTTTCTTTCTCCTTCAAAGTGCTTGCTGTCCTGCATCATTTGACAACCAAAGAAAAACCTTAATCCAGCTTAACATGAACACAGAATTTTCTATTTTGAGTACCAACAAATTTAACATGTGAAATTTGTGCATAACTGACAGCCACATTAAGAGAAAACAACAAAGAAGATACAAAATTGGGATAAACATATCTTTAATAGCCACCTTATATCATCGAAAAATGAACCATTTTGTTCCAATACCTTAAAAGTGCAAAGCGCAACAAAAGCGCCAGGGGCTTTTTGTGCCCGAGGCGCAAGGGGCAAGACTGCAAGGTAAGGCATGCACCTTTTTGAAGTGAGACACAATTTTTTTAAAATTTTCAAAAAATGCATAAACATGAAAAAAATAAAAAATTGAAATATTATTAAAAATAATATCAATTAAAAATGCATACTAAAATTTTAAACTAAGTATTTTAAAAAGCCTATTAGCTCATTAAAATAGATAAACATAACATATAAAACACATGCAAAGTGAAAATGTAAAAACAAAATTAAACATACCATATAAAACATATTCAAGCAGTCAACAATTTAACCATGCAAAACTTTCAATCACTTTATTATTTTCCTAATTGCATTACTCAAATATCAATTAAAAATGCATACTAAAATTTTAAACTAAGTATTTTAAAAAGCCTATTAGCTCATTAAAATACATAAACATAACATATAAAACACATGCAAAGTGAAAATGTAAAAACAAAATTAAACATACCATATAAAACATATTCAAGCAGTCAACAATTTAACCATGCGAAACTTTCAATCACACTCTTAAATAAGTACATACTAGGGTCTTAAATAAGTACAAGCCACTTTATACCAAACCCCTTGAGGTAAGCTCAAATAAGTACATGCTAGGGTCTTAAATTCTTAATTGGTACTTAAGAAATTAGTTTTATGAATTAGTTTTAGTTCATATCTTTTAATAAATGTCTTGTATTAGGAAGAATGAATGAACAATATTAGCAAGAAGGGAGTTCTTTGAGGACCCGCCCCAACCACCATGCTTAAAAAATTACAAAAAGTGCAAAGTTTAAGAAAGGTGCAAGCGTAGGTTGAGGCACAAGGCACACCAAGCACATGCTTAGGCACACACCAAGTGCACACCTTTATTAAGGGGCTGTGCTAGGGCCTAGGCAAGGCACATACCTTGAAATGAGCCTCGCCTATGCACCTAGGCGTGCCTGAGGCCCGCCTTTTAAATCATTACTTTGTTCTTTGTTCCTTTCATGGAAATGCCACAAGCACATCAAGTAATTACATCTCTGTATCTAGTCTTTACTTCAAAATAAGAAAAAGATCTGTATTGCTCAAAAGTTCATAAGTATTGTTTCTTTATGCTTTTACTGGAACATCCATCAATACAAGGTCCCAAGAAAACAACACCTTCAAACGTGAAGTATTAAAAAACAAAATTAATATTACATTTCATAGTTTATGATAGTTTATCACTAAACAAAAACAAAACCTTCCTCAATGAGACAACTGCAAGATTATCCATGCAGGCAGGCCACTGCAAGGCAAAAGTTCCTATTTCCTAGCCATTTTGTCCAAGGGGAAAAGCAAAAACTACAACAGCAGTTACTAGCCTACTACTAGAGGAAGAATTTAGTTTACACCTTAATGCCAAAAGTGCTGAAAATTGGGCATCAAATACATTACCAAACCACATGACTGTCTGCCAATATGGATGGCCATAATTTTCAACCATATCCTTGCATGTAGAAGAAAATATTGATGATACATAATGCAGGTCCTTTGACCCTTAAATTATTTGAAATTTTAAAAATAAGCCCTGTTCTACCACTCTAATTCCCTTGGGACCATATTATGCTAAAAAATAATCCCCCAGATTCATGTAGGTATCTGCATAAAATCCCAGCACACTGAGAAATAGAATGAATGATGCCAATTTGAAAAAAAAAAAGAATCAATAGTAACCAGAAATGGAAAACAAAAAAAACATAAATGATGCCACCCTACCATGTGCCATTTTTTACCCATGTGTAACAAAGATGATACAAAACGAAACAAGGACAAATTGGGAAGATGGTGGCAAGCTTTTCTCCCTCCATAGAAGGTGTCCACTTCTCCATTAGATTTGGTTTTGTTAACAAAGAAGCTCACGAAGTTTTCTCAGAAAATGAAGGAAGCTCAATCTAACTGTTTATGTGTCTTAGCTTGTCCATTCTGGCTGGAATCTGCCATTTGGATAGTTCGACATGTAGAAAATAATTTTGTTTCTTTGACTATCATAAAAATATTCCACTTCTAAATTATATTGCTTAAGAAGCAAACCCTGAAAAGTGGCAACCACTTCAAAACAATCTTGAAGAATATGCAACGCATCTTGAATCCACACAGTAAGAGGTGGTTCCGGCGTTATTTAGAGTGCGTTCTGGATCACTGGCGAGGCAACCATTCTGGGCAAAATGTTTCCATACAAAAAATGCGTCCCAACCATTACATATTTAATAATATCCTTACAGCAGCTCGGTGACCAATGCAGTATGCTTTTGAAGGAAGTAAATGCCCAACCGAAATCTACATACATTTTTAACATGTTTCTACATAGTTTCAAGTTAACCTAATCGGCTAATCCAGAATCGACTCGTGTCTCATGGACCGAAGAAAAGCATGAACAGACTTGAAATAATTATTATACTTCCAGCAGAGGTTGAAACATCAAAATTCACATGAAATCACGAAAAAAAAAGGAAAAAGAAACCTAGAAACCACTTCGTTAACAATCAAATTATTTGGAACCTAGTGCACCAACAGATAAAGCAGACAGAACTATCACTATCAATCAAAATCAATGATATATCGGATCGCGATCCAGATTCCAACGTGATTCCAACACGTCGTAGATATATGTCGGAATGACCCGGAATAAGCTGGAATTTTTTCAAAAAAAAGCATTTCACAGTTCACACAGAGAAGACAGGTGCAATTCCAAATAGAATACAACAAAAGAAAACAATCAAGATAAGCCTTGAAACCCTTGGAAATCCAGGCTTCCGATGTCACGAACAACAAAGGAACCGTGAACCTGTTAACGGAATTCAAATCGACAACCAGATCTGACGAAACCAATCAGCAATTCAAATCATACGAGAAAATCTAGAACCACGACAAAGAATACCCACATAGGAATCAAGACAAGGGAAACGAAACATGGAAAAGAATAAACAGCAAAGATCAAATGAATCTGACCATCTCCATCCTTGTCGAACAAGCTAAAAGCCTCCTTGAACTCGGAGATCTGATCGTCGGTGAGCTGATCAGCCATGATTCTCTTTCCAGAACCGAGAGACAGCAGATCAAACAGAGCAAGAGATAGGAGAGATCTAGAAAACCAAAACGAGGGAAGACCAAATCGTTGGCTCGTCCGTCTCTCCTCCGGACTATCAGGCTTTTTATATGGGCGAAAACTCTCAAAAGGGTATCATCTAATTCTCGGCCCATCCATTTTTCATTCTAAAAAACGAAACGAAACAAACGACATCCCCAAATTACCCTGATATATAGCTAAGAGAAATTGCGAAATGAGAAAATAAATAAAAAAAATAAGAAAATCTATAATACAGCCAAGACATGGTACCGGAAGAGCTTTGGCCAATCATAGCACTCCGTGAATTATGATTAATACCACCTGATTTGTCGTTTTTTCTATGATACCAACTGATTGGCGGTAAGCTTTGTCAATATTATGCATTTGCGGTATTATAGTCGAACTGTCGGGTTTCCTCAATGGGTCGGGTTACGTAATAAACCCGCATTGACCTAATGCTATCGAGTTTGGTTCGGGTCACCCTTAAATGAGTCTTAAAATGGGTTCAGATTGTGGCTAGGTTTTTCTTTTTTTTTTTTTTAAACGCAATTGAAATAACACTAACATAGGCAACCCGTATGCATCTTTCAATCCTAGGAAGAGAGAAAATCCAGCATCTAAGGCCAATGCTTGCTAGTAAATTTGCCCAATAATAGGGATGCAAACGTATCGGATCGGATTCGAATGAGGGTAATATTCGAATCCCATCCGATACTATCAACAGTTGTTAAAATCAGATCTCATCTCGCAAACATTAATTTGAATTCTAATTCAATGAGGAAATTGGATATTCGGATCTGTTCTTATTTAATTTTTTAAAAGAATTAATTAATTATTAAAAGAAAATTAAAATATAACAAATTAAATAAAAAAATTTCAACTATTTTCATCATATATATACATATTTTTTATAAAAAAGTAAATGTTAAAATCAGATCTCATCTCGCAAACAATAATTTGAATTCTAATTCAATGAGGAAATTGGATATTCGGATCTGATCTTATTTAATTTTTTAAAAGAATTAATTAATTATTAAAAGAAAATTAAAATATAACAAATTAAATAAAGAAATTTCAACTATTTTCATCATATATATACATATTTTTTATAAAAAAGTAAATAAATAATATAAAAATGCAATAAAAATAGCATATTTATAAATAAATACCATTTATGTATATATATATATATATATATATATGTGTGTGTGTATTATATATTTATATAAATAAACTAAAAACATATATATATTGGATTGGACCCTTTCGGGTCAGATAAAGGGTGATTTGAATTCAATTTGATTTCTAATCGGCTGATCCAATCCGATTTGAAGATTCAAAAATAAGGATGTCCGAATCCAACAAAATAGGATTGGACTTCAAATCGAATCAGATCATGATCTGGTCCATTTCCACCCTACCCAATATTTTAAAAATAGACCTAAAATGGAACATTTTTGTCTCTAGTTTTCCAAGTTACCGGTAATATAGAATAATAAATAAGGTAAATTACAGATAGGTACCTTATATTTTGGGGGTAGTGACAGATAGGTACCTTGAACTTTCAATTGCAACACTTCGTACCCTAAACTCTCCAAAATAGACAATTGGATTCATCCATTAGCATTCTTTGAGTTAAACATTGTGTAATGCCAAAACTACCCTTTCATCAGTTAACCTTATACGGTTTGATTAATACCAAATAAGTTATTAAGTTAGTCAAGGGACTAGCCACTTCTTCTAGGATGATGTTCTCACATGGACGGTTAAAAGGGACTATGTTGGTGTCTCAACACTACTTTTTCTRGCAACGTCATCATGGGAGAAGTTGTTGGTTCATTGACTAACTTAACAACTTGTATGGTACAATCAGACCATATAAATTTAATTGGTGGAAGAATACTTTTGAAATTATGTAATGTTTTAACTAATGGAATACTAACAGATGGACCCAAGTGTCTATTTTTGAGAGTTTAGTGTACTCAAGTGTTGCAATTGAAAGTTCATGGTACCTATCTGTCACTACCCCCAAAGTACAAGGTACCTATCTGTAATTTATCTAATAAATATATATGTTTAAAAATATACCTAAAAATAATGTATAGCATTTGATTTTAACCACAAACCACCCCTCCCAAATTTGTATTCATTTTAATGGTATTGGATCCTACTATCTTGAGTACTTCTATGCTATGAATTTATGAAACAAATATAATAGGGACTAAGCCTACAAAAGAAAGAAAGAGAGACATCTTGAAAAGTGAAAAGACAATAGTACCACGGTTAAGGAGAGAGAGAGAGAGAGAGAGAGAGTTTAAAATTTTCAAAATGAAGAAATGTTAAAAATATAAATTGTTTCATTGTTGTGAACCCATGAACCATTGTTTAGGTTAAATCATTTAGTAGTTCAATCATTTGGGTCAATGGTTTTCTATCCAAATCAACATTTTTTTTGGGTATAAATCAGATTGGGTGATAAATCCTAAGACAAATGGCCCAACCACTAGGTTAACATTTTTAAAACTTGAGTTTGCCAATTTATTAGAGTCCAAACTATCGAGGTTTCAATGCACAAGTTGCTCCCATTTAAAGGGCTCTATTTACCTATCAAGATGACAGTAGGCACTATATCAATCATAGGACCTCTATCAAGTTTTCAAAATGATTTTCTAAAATTCTTTCAAACCAAAAACCCATAAAAATTTATTCAACATCAACTTCTATCAAAATAAAAATCCATGAAAACCCAAAACCCATCAAGCTTCATCAAATGACAAATTTTTGACCTAATTAGAGCATCCAAAAGCGTCAAATCAACACATCAATCTACAATGCAAGCACATCAATCAAAACAATAATAATAACAAAACTTAGTTAATACTAGAGTTATTTCTAGGACGATGGCACCTCTATGCTTTTCATATGTTTGCTTAATAGTTTGCATTTCCCTTCAAAGGTTTGGGATTCTACTACACATTCAAACAAAGGGATTACACTACATCAATCTTGGCCTTAACTAAAATTCTAATACCAAAATTCATTTTCAATCTTCTTATCCCTTGCAAAAATCTCTATGTATTATTTTTTTTTGTTGTTGTTTGATAGCCCACTACTTCTAACAATGTGGGGGCAGATATCTCTTTTTTATCAATAACAGAACTAAATGTATTAAAATAAAAAATTTAGTACAAAGAAGGGGAAGGGATAAACACTCTTAGCCCTCACCAAGAGAAAGACTACAGTATAGCCCAAAATAAAGCATTCCTTCCCACCCTTGTTTAGCAAGCGTATAAGCTACAGAATTTGCTTCTCTTTTGACCCAATTACAAAACACCTCTACCCCTTGCAACAATTTAACATCTTTCCTCTTCTCATGAATGTAGCACCACCATCCCTTTTCCTCCATTTTTTGGAGCCATCTAATTACAAGCTAAAAAATCACCTTCTATTACTAGCTTCCTAATATTCAGCTCTTTAGCCTTATGAATCCCTTCCATAATAACCATAATTTCAACTCTTAAGGAATCGCCACCAATTAGGCCTGAGAATAGTGCAATGATGTTTCCTTCTTCATTCCTAAAAACTCCTCTTATACCAAAAGGGTCTGGATTGCCTTCCCTGCTACCATCAAAGTTAAGTTTGATGAAATCACTAGAAGGTGGGGACTACAAAGGCCTAACCACCTCCTTAACTTGAGCAGAATCAGCCACCTCCCTCCACTTTCTCATCACCTTAATGTTGAAAACATCTCTAAAAATCTCTAATGACTTTACCCAATAGACTACCTCAATGGTATTCGAAAATCTGATTTCGAATTCGAGATTCAACATTATCGAATCGAATTCGGATAATTCGAATATCTAATCAGCCGAATTCGAAGATGACTTGATTCGATTCGATAAATATCTTAATTCGACTGATTATTTAATTCTTTATATAAAATTTTAAAATGTTTTATAATTTATATATATAATAATTAAATTATATAAATAATTTATATATTTATATACTTTATATAAATAAAATATTTATTTTATATATTTATTAATTACCTAAAATAATTAATTAGTCGTATTCGAATCGAATTGAATATTTGAATATTTAATCGGATTCGAATTCAAATATTAATTTTCAATATTTGTCAAATATCAAGGTCAAATTCGGATATCGAATTTTTTAATCGGATTCAAATTCGGATATTGCCTTATCCAATTCGAATTCGACCCGTAGTGATAGCTTTGATGATAACTTCTTTACTTCTTATTTTTTCATGGAAGAGTCTTTGATTCCTCTCCTCCCAAATTGTCCAACACACCACAGCTCTTGTACATCGCCATAATATTCTTCCCCTCTTCTTTGACCATCTTAGGAAATTGGAAGTAAATAAGCTTTGTACACTAAGAGGAGGGTTCCACTTGCACCCAAACAAAGAAAAGAACCATTCCCAAATTGAGGAAAAAACGTGCAGGAAATTAATAAGTGATAGCAATTCCCACCATTAACTTTGCAAAGGGAGCACTAGTGAAGGGAAAGAAACCAATTGGGTCTTTTTCTTTGTAGTAACTCACAAGCATTAATTATTTCCAAATATGTTTTTCGGAACAAACCACCCACCCTAAGAGGAATAGGTTTACACCAAATCTCTTTTAAAGGAAAGGAAGGCACTTAGCTTTCACTTGGTTGAATAAGGGTTGAGAAAAAGGAACCACAAGAAAAGGAACCCGAGGGTGAAGGGATCCAAATTCTCCTATCCCTCTTACTATCTTCCAAACACACCCCTTTCAAGTTCTAAAGGTCAATAACAATGTTCGTTTCATGATCATATAATCTTCTTCTAAAACCCAAGTCCCAATTGCATTCACCATTTGAATTAATCAAGGGCAAAAAGAAAGAAATAGGTTCCTCCCTATGGTTAGAAATGGTATAGTGTGAAGGAAACTGTGTTCTTAGTGATTCACTTCCCACCAAAAACATACTCCCAAAATTTATCAAGGCTTCCAATTCCCAGACTATACCTAAGATGTGGTAGAAAAAGGGGTAGGATATCATAAATGGACTTCTAGGGTGAAGCCCTTGTAGCCCTTCTAGAATCCCAACCATCCACTACAAGACCA